ACATGAATTTCCCCAGTAAGTCCTGAGTCATGAGGTTACTCACGCTAACAAGATCGATTCATGTCTGTGTTTCACACATCCTGTTTCCTTCCGTCTTGATTAAAATCAGACTCTTTTATGTCCACTTCTGGAGCGTGTACATCATGAGTATTAGGGATAGATGAGAGCTGTGTGACTCATTGTGGTGTCTTGCAACCTGACCTGGTGTGTGGTTAACTTTATAGGACAAGGTCAGGATACAGTTTTTATATTCACTGACCAACTACAAGCTAATTTAGATAATAATTACTGCCTAAGTTATTGTGGAGGTGATTCAAGATGGCTGCTGAGTGGTTAGGCTTGCTTCTAGAAGGACTTTGCCTCATGTCACATGCTCAGAAAAGATTGTTTTATATTTGTCTAAATGTCAGCAAGTGTGACTAGCTGCTGCGTTTTGACACTTGTTTGACATTTTGCATTTGTCCATTAAAGACTTGTGTGGTATGCGTCACTACCTGTTTGCTCTTTTAAACAGCAGTGGTTGACTTGCTGCATCAGTAGTTTCACAGTAGCATTTGTTTGGTTAGATCATTTTTCTCTTTTTTTCTTCTTGCCAAAAAATCTGACGTTGATCTCGACACAGTGCAGCAGTTCCTCAGGTTGTTTTGTGGTGTCGATGGGGGAGAAAAAAGCGGTGCCAAATTTCTGTAAAGCCCACGAGAGAGACGAAGAAAGCAATCAGTGTGCCATCGCGAGCGTGCGTGTGCTTCGCAGAAGAAGAATGCGGGCATTGTAGGGGAGGAGAAGGAGCTTGAGGGAGTGATGAGTAAGGTGAGGAAGGAAAAAAGGCAGGAGTGCACAAATGTTTTCCAGTTGCAATTTCGGGTGTTTGGATTGGCTTTTTTTTCTGCCGTCTCCTGCCGAATGCTGTCTAGGAAAGCAATAATACAATAACAAAACACTGAGCTGAGGTTAGAGGTCCCGGATAAGAACAGAGAAAGGAGACACAAACACTGTGTTAGCCTTTTTGTTTCCCCTCACAGTTTGAATATGGCTCTTCGTCAAGGTAAAAAGTCAAGGAAGTTTGAGTCCAAACACATCTGGAGATCCTCAGAGGACAGAGAGGATGAAAAGAAAGGGAAAACCCTGGGAACGGAGGCGGCCAAGACCCCAATGGATACGGCGAGAGGAAGTGTGTGTCTGTGTTTTTGTGTGCATGTGTGTGTGTATGTTCTCTAGGCAGTGCTGAGTCATCGCTGGGCTGGCCAGGCAGATAGAACCAAGCTTCTGGGAGGCCAGCTGAAGGGGCAAAGTGAGGCATGCACTGAGCATGCTCTGAAAAAGTACAGGAAGGGGATTAGTTGTTGTGACAGGACACATCCAGGAACTTTAGTGACGCAATATTTCACGATGCCAACTTTTCACTGCCTCATTGACGTACGTGTCCCCTTGATATGTTTGATGGTGCTAATGAAAAAACGGCACGCTTATTTTAAGATGTGACCTCACGACTTTTACAAGTCTTCATCTCAGAAGGTTGTCGCTCAGGACACAGAGAGAAATTAGATAACAAGACGCGTTGCTCCATGTTTTGGCCCGACCACAGCGCGACCCCCCATCCCCCCACCCCCTGTTTCTTGTGGTTGTCTGTGATCTGTTGGACCACAGTCTGTGACAACCCCCCCCCCACCAGACACAGAGACACAACAGCCCACACGCACCCATATGCAAAAGCACTCTCACACTTCCTGTATGCCGATTAGACTCTTCTCTGCAGCACTGGAGGAAGATGGTATGTACTGTAGGCACATGTTGAAGTTAGAAGGTTAAACTCCTGTTAATGATACTGCAGTTTACGTCTTATAGTCTAACTGTTCATCTGTTGCTCAACACTTTATTATGGAAAGACATGCAGGGCAGAAAAAGAAGCAGCTTATATATAATGCATGTTGACTTCTTTGCTAAAAGCACCTTGAGGTGTTGCTTTTGGTTTGTGTTATGGTGAATATTCTACCTGTGTTCACCGCTTTACTGTGCAGCACATAAGAAGAAATCTGACTAGTTGTTGTATGCTAGTTACAGTCTGTTAGTTACACCATGTGTCTGCAGTGTTTACACATGCAAAGTGGCAGTTTTAAGATGAAGCTTAAATTCACCTCTGTATGTATGTCTGTGTATGTGACTGTATTTCTTCCAGTGGTGGGTTTGAGTGTCTTATATCCAAGCACAAACTTCCAGTTATAAAATTAAGCCAATGTAGAAGTGCCAAGAACTGCAGATGGCAACTAATGGCTATTTGAAGTAGGTGCCAAAAGTGAATCAGTCGCCATAGACTCTCGTGGTAAAATGCCCACATTTAGTTAGTGCAGAAATGAAACATTTAGCACAAAAATCAGTTATGGTCTCTACAGATGTTTTCCCCCCTTCAGAAGTTTCTTTTTTCCTGTTTCCTGGCTAAATCGTATTAAGACTTAAAGTTCGGCATCATTGTGGGCGTCTTCTGTCCATTCGATGGAGTCAGGAAACATTCTGTTTTAGTTAACACCTTGCTAAGTAAGCTTGCACCAGCACCAGGTGATAATGCCACAGCTCTGCCTTCTTGTTCCAATATGACCACGTCTGGATCGAAACAAAAACTTAAGATGAACACGCACAAAGTACCAAAATGGGTGCTCCAAAAGTCCACACAGCTGATATCACAGTAGCTACATCCTTTTTTTTTTTTTTTTTTTTTTAATATCCTATCTATGGCTCTTCCTGTCTGCTTCAGAATTTAATATGTCAGCGTTTTAGGACTAAAAAGACTCTAAATGTCCAGTCATTTTTGTCTTCTTTCATTTCCAGAAGACCCAAATCTGCTTCTTTATTCTACCAAAAATAGGACTCTTTCATTGCCGTCATTGGCTGTCTCTAAACGTCACTTGAATCTTGCTATATCTGAACAGAAGTTGTGTCCAGTTATTCCAGCTACCAGTCATGCCTGGGCTACTCACTTCCAAGTCAACACACTTTTATGTCATCCTTATGCTACATGCCCAAAAATGTGTTCTTCCTGATCCCCTATGCCTATTTGTTTAGTATACTCAAGGTCAAAAAAGGACTCACACACACACACACACACACACACACACACACACACACACACACAGCAAATGGGCGTTTAAAAAGAAAGAAAAGAGAAGGGCTTGTTGAATACTTAGGAATACATCCTTCCTTTATTCTGATGAACTGTGTGGTTAAAGCTGTTAACCACGGAGTTCTTTTAAATTACAACAGTACTAGTTTTTTAACGGTGGTGGACAGGTTGAAACACGTGTGCACTGTACAGAGAAGCTGCGTGTTAACTTCTTCGTGCACCAAATGATGCAGTACCTACAGTTGATAATGTAGTTGTGGGCCCTGATGAGTAAAATGGTAGATGGCTTTTGATAGTTTCAATTTAGTGATTATTATAAGAAAAGCCACAAGTTTAAACAGAGAAAGCCCTGTGGGATTAGACTAATCAGCAAACACTGAAGCACTGTGCATTAACAGAAGCAAGGAAGTGAAACAGTGCACGCAAAAAAAAGTAGCAGAGCCCTACTGTAGGAGGCCAAGCCTTCCAAGGCAACCCGAACACATCAAGTTCAGTGCAGTATATTACCACATGTCACATCTTTACTGTCTCACTCATAAAATGAGGTTGCGTGTGTGAATGTTTAAGGTTGGATGATTAATCAGTTTAAAATTTTAAGATTTTGCCACATTCATTAAGTCCAAACTCAGTCGGTGTTTACTTCAGTTTGAGCAAAGATTATGAAAAGCGCGGCTTTGGTCAACAAGAGCTGTCCAACAGAAGCTAAAAACTTTTAAAATCTTTCAGGAGGTTTATTAGATGTTGTCTGCAGCTGTTTTTCTCTCCATATCTTTGAGAGTCTCTCACCAAACCTGGTTTCGGCAGCATATGACTGAAATGCCCTTTGGTTGACTGCTATGACTTTCTGTCTATTAAGTCAGCTTCTGCCTGGGCCCCTTGTTGCCCCCCCCACCCACACCTGCAGATGTTGTGGTGGAGGCTAGCCGGCAGAAGTGGTTACCCTTGCGAGACAGGTTATAGGGTCAAAAACGCTCATTAATATGGGCCTCGCTCTCTACCGGATGAGCCTGTCCCCCTCCACCAACGCCACTGATTTATTTATTTTTTGTGTTAATTGTACTTAAAGAAATCCCCTTTAAGTATAATAAATAAATAAATAAACACTTTTGTTTTCACTACACTTATGATGTTTGTTAAGTTAATGAATAATCATGTTGTTTGTGTATCGTGTTTTAAAACGTGAGTGATACACTGGGGGGGGGGGAAAAACGGAAGGACCATTAAAATAGGTCACGTGTAAGTACACAAACACACGGATGAAAATACAGGCTGATTGAGAGATTTTCTAACCGTACTTCCTCAGTCAGGGCCTCATTCACTTTCTGTCTGACTGACTAATTACTGTTTCCATTCATAAAATACTTGAGTTGCCATCATCCATATCAGTGGAGGTTAGAACGCAGTTTCTCCTTTCTCTCTGCTCGCCTCTGCTGTAGGAAACAATTTCCTGAAATTTACTTAAAATGTGTACACTCGCTGCGTTTTCTCCCATTAACTGAATGGTAACCGATTGTCCTTTGAGTGAACCGTGGCCCTGTGTTGAGATACTCTAGGATACTCTGGTTGATTGCCAGAGATTTTTTGCAGGCCCATGTAATCCAATTTGTGCGGTTACAGATCAAGCTCAGATGAAATCAGAGTTTTGAATGTTCTTTCTTAGTGTTTGAACTGTTTTTAAACTTTGAAGCAATTCAAAATGTGCTGTAACTGTTGTGCCATTTCCCATGTTTAGTGCTGCATGTCTTGCACAACCCTCCACATTATCCTGATCTAATTGCATTCCTATATCTTGCTCTCGTTATTTGGTCCTCTGGCTTTTTTCGTTCTTTTCTTCCATGCTTCATCCATTCATTTCTCTTACCCGCCTTCTTTTTCTGTTCCGCAGTGATTCTCATCCACTCTGGTTACTGCAATGAATGGTAACACTATCCATCCAGCCAACACCACAACAGCAGCAGGCCAAGGTGTGGCAGTTGCCCAAAAAGGCTGGACGGAATTCTGCGAGCTGCATGCCATCGCCGCAGCCCAGGAGCTGGCCCGGCACTACCGGAGTTTTGCAAGAGAGCGACCACACCATGATGTGCTTCCACCAGAGACCTTTTCAAAGCAATTTACTGACCTCTTCCAGCAACACTTCTGCTGCGAGGTCGACAAAGACGGCACGCCACTGGGTCAGAACACAAGCTCTGCCGCCTCCGGTAGCGCTCCCTCATCGTCTCCAGTGGTCCTTCGTCCTCAGCCTGTAATCACTCGAGTGCGGACTTTGCCTCGGGTGCAGGACTATCGGGAGACTGGCAGACCAAATGGAGGAGCTGCTCCACTGACTGCGTCACCGAAAGTGGAGCCGGTGGTGTTGAGCCGGGAGCAGGAGCTGCCACTGAGATGCGCTGCGGGAAACTCCTTTTCAGGATCTCGCACAATTGGCAGCGGGACACTGGTGATTCATAGCCATAGCAACGAGGAGATCTCTGGCACAGATCATCGCCAGGTATCTGAACGGTACTCTTCTGACTCTTTAACCTCGAACCCTGAAAACTCAGAAGTCACACATTTCTCTTTCAGCCAAATCCGGAAGTCTGTAAATAAGCTTTTAAAGAAATCACCCCAAGCCAGTCCGCGCTCATCCCGGGACCTTACCCCTAGGAACCCCACCACCACCAACAGTAATCTTCCAAATAATGGTGACAGAGTGGGTGCTGTTTCCTCCATCAGCGAAGAGGTGTCATCCTCTTCTTCCCACTCCTCCGAAGCCACACCCACAGCTGCTTCACACCGTCCTGGAATGAAGGAGCTGATCATGGCTCCTTTCAATAGGTTTCGTAGTAAAAGGCAGAGGCGATCCGAGGCGAGCGGCTGCTGTAAAGAGGGCCAGTTGAGGTACTTTCTGGTGGACGAAACTGTTTCAGACTCACAGCCCCGCTGGCAGCGTTGCCACCTGCTGGTCAGGAGGATCAGAGACATTCAAGGAGGAAGAGGAGCAGGGGAAAGTTACCAGTTAGAGCTCTATGATCCTCCAAAGGTAAAAACACAAGCTTTGGCACACTTTATATTCATCGTACACGCGATTCACTAAACTCTAACAGCTCAGCTGTGGTTTCACATGATAATATGTGGGCATTTCTTTGAAAACAGTTCACAGCAGGTGAAAAGTATTCATTTTTATTTTTAAATAGCTTTCTGTACAAAATTTGACTCCTGGGGTTTCTATCTGAAACAGCTTCATGACTTTTGCTTACAAAGAGAAAGATAGAGAAAGATTTGTCTTGACATCCTTATCAGTGGACTGGTGTTTCATGTAGGTTTAGCTGATCTCACAATCGTTTACCGTGGTCTTTCTTTATCTGCCACATTATCTGCAGAGAAATCATACAGATTAAATCATTAATGCTGCTATGTGTAAGTATTTTATTTTGAAAGCTCCACTACTGGTAACCAGCTAGCCCCGGCCTAGCCCCATCTCACGTGTACACAACTACTCATGTGATCACGAGTTAAACTAAATATGCGAAAGAAGTATCATTTATATCATGAATTGTAAAACCCTTGCATGATCTTCTGGCCTGATTGCTCGCCTCTAGTTGCATGCATGAAGTGTAAGAATGGTACCGATGGCACTATTCTCAATTTTTTCAAGTTTATTTAGTCAGGCTAGTATGAATATCTTTATCTGCCTTTATTATAATTTGGAAAAGACAAAAGAGTATGAGTTGTTAGTAAAATAATTCTTTAGTTGCGCACTTTTTATAGTTTTCTTTTGGTCTCTATTGGACATAAAAGTCATCAAAGTGTGTGAGGAGTGTTTAAGTCAAGAGGTTACAGAAATACTGTTTAGCTTGTCAGGCAACTAAATATATAAAATTATGCCATGATGTTGCAAATTAAAGGAGATTGCAAATCATTTACTTTCTTTCTCGGAACACCAGACTAGAGTTTTTTTTGCCTGAAAAGTCACGGTGTAACCCCTCCTGTCACCTCATATCCTCCTATATTCAAACAAATAGAATTTAGCTATGCTAGTCTGCAGCTTTTGTTAACTGTGTATGGAAAGAGACTAGTCATGCACTACAAGTGCATCCTCAGTACTTTATAGATTTGAGCGAGAAAGAAAGAAAACAAAAAATGTATTTTCAGAAATGTTGAAGAAGTCAATTCAAAATATTGTCTACTGATCTACACACATCACGATTTATCTTCTTGATGCTTAGTTTGATTGCAACAAGCAGATGTTCATGAAAACCACTGATCGTTTTCTGTTGCTGCTGTTCTCAGTACAGGAGAGCTTTGCAGAGTTTCACTGGATTGTGTCTGCCGCTTTTGCAGATGTGCATGTGTTGTTTTTTTGTTGTTTTTTTAAATAACCTCTTCTCAGAACTGCTCACACTGTGACATGTTACAGCTGACAGGTTTGTCATCTTGTGTTTCATATCTATGCATGGTAGGTCACTAGATCTGTTTGTGTCAATAGGATGGAAACCCACATTTGCCTTTAAAGAGCTGGGTAAAGTTTGCCAAGCAGTGTCACATACTCTTAAGTTAACGCACACACAAAAACAAGCGCACACACATTAAGGCACAAAGTCATTTCCTGTTTCCAGCTGTTTAGTTGCAGGGGTTTCCCCCCCTCCTTCAAATCATCTCTTTTCTCTGCCTGTGTTTGTTTTTGTTTGCATAAATGGTATTTTTACTGCCTCTAAGAAGCTCCTTTTAGTGAATAGTTTGCCACATGACAAAACAAGACGAAAACTGTGATGACATTTAGCTTTGCCTCAAAAAAAAACGTCTTGTCTTACTGGCGGTTTGCATTTCACCTTTACTTCTGGTGATTCAGTGGCATCTAGAGGGAGTGTTTTGATGATAAACACAAAGCTTTTTTGTTAACCAAACTGAAAACACAAACTGAAAAGATATTAGTCATATACTCACAGCTTAGTTTAAAGGAGGGCATGAGCTTCAGGTTCACTCGTGCTTTCCATGCACAATAGGGTCATCACAGTTCATAGATGATTTGTTTCACACTGGTACCCTTTAAAGATTATCCTAACTGGTTTACCCTTTAACCTAGTTAAAGAAGTGGAAATTAAGTTGCTAGTCATATGAGATAGATTTAATCAGTCCGTACTTCATTGACTATTGTTACTTATCCCTTTATTAATATACAAACATATACAGGGCATTTCTATAGCTCAGAAATATAGCTCAATATTTTCTCGCTGTGACATTTTCACTCGATTACATCAACGAATCTGCAACATTCATGTCTTCTTTTAATCCTTGGTGAGTAGATACACCTCCCACACTGTTTCCTGTTTGCTTGGGGTTTTCTGCAGCCAGTCACAACTTTTCTCCTTACACGAAGCAACCATGACATTAAAGCCGACGATCTAACATTAGTTAACTTACCCAAATGCCAGTAAAACAGCTCTGACCCTGTCAGGGTTGTGCAATGACCTGATACCTGCAGGGTTGGATTGAGCTTGTTCACAATAATCCCACAGATGGTTGGTCAGATTGGAGTCTGGGGTCTGAACAGTTTTGGTTTGAATATAGTAGAGAGTTTTAGTAAATAATTAAAAATAATGCTTATATAGCTTCAAAAATTATTTACGTTTTATCAAAGTACAGTTCAGATTAACTGTTAGGTCTATGACATCACTAACCGAACTGTAGCTGCAGCAAGTGGCAGGTAGATGTAAACAAGCAAGGTGGAAACTTAGATGGATAACAACCCTCAAACCAGCAGTACTTTGAACTGTATGCGATCCATATGTTGGCTGTAACAGAGTAAACTGGCATATAACCACTGAAGAGGAGTAGTAGGTAGCCATGTTCAGCACATGCATGTTCATGTTAACCTGCAAGTAAAGAAAGAAGAAGGCTGCTGCTAGCACTGCAAACATTAGTGCCTCACATAGCAAACTAATCTGATAATGTGCGTGAAAGTGACACATGTCAACAAGCTTTCTGACTTTTGGATTAGTCAACTATTATTATTTATTAGTAGTAGTATTTCTTCCCATTTTATCAACCAGTAAATAAGTTGCCAGTATTTTCCCTTCTGTATTGTACAGTGTATTTCCAGGGGTGTTGGTCTGCCACGATGTGTAGGTGGGTGGTGATGGATGATAGGACTAAGATGATTAGTTTTATTCACTAAAGTTGTCAGTGGTTTAAATGCAATGCCTGACTGGTGTATTACTTCTTAATTAACACTTGTTAATGCCAAGTGGCAATTGTAACTTGGAAACATGACATCAGTTGTTGCTGTAAGCTCTTCGCAGCACAGCAGGATGTATTTCTTTCTTTCTTTTTCTCTTTCTCTTTTTCTCTCTCTCCTCGCATGCTTAGCTCCCCCCACAAGGCCTCATGGCATTAAACCCTGCAATATTTCCAGATGGGGCCAGCTGTAAGGCTGCATGTAGTTGCACACTTAGCCCCTAAACCAGTGATCAGAGCAGGTCGAATGCTGTCCTGAGCCCTGCCATCTATAAGGTGGCAGGGCCCAGTAAGCAGAGTTTAGTCTCTTTAGGGTGTGTGCAAGTGTGCATTCAGACACACATAAAGGTCCATGAGAGAGACATTGCATGCATGTGCATGTGTCTGAAGGCGTATGTGTGTTTGTAGAGTTTTATATTTAGCAGCCCTCGAGTCCTCAGCCGCTTACAGCCCTAACCATGTGTGTGAGGTAATTCAGTTGATTTCAGAGCCAAAGTCGTGCATGTGTGCACGTGCTTGCGTGTTTATTTAGAATGGGAAGACATTGGCAGGATTTGCCTGGCTGTTTGCAATTTTGCTTTAATGCACTGGTGCTCTGAATACGCTCTCTCTTAATGTGTGTGTGTGCGTGCGTGCGTG